CTGTGGCCTTCAGAAGTCACTGAGGCATCGTCCGAGCGAGAGAGGCTTCTGATGGAGCTGCTAGCTCGAGAAACTGAGCGGAAGAAGGAAGGGGTAGGCTGCCGTGTGAGTGTTGTATTCACTATCGACTGCTTTGAAGGAGAGGGAAGGAAGGAGTGCAGTAGAGAACTCCGCAGACAGCCGAGACGATAGGGTTGTGAAAATGCTAGAGGAGATGCGGAGGAATCAGTTGAAGCAACATGCTGATCTCATCATGGCGTTGAAGGAGGTGAAATTGCAATTGAGAGGTTCCTATCGAAAAGGCAGTTGTGAAAATATTAGATTACTGCTGCTTCAATTTCGCGGAGCGAAGCTAGTACTGGTGGTGAAGGGCTGATAGTGAAAGCTGGTGGGGTTGTGATGGATGGTGTAGATGAGGAGGAGGAGGAGAGAGGAGTGGATAGAAGTGATACGAACGATGGGTGGAGGAGACGGTACTTGTCAGTGGTAGGTGTAGTAGTGGCGACTGAGTCGACAGCGGTAGGCAGTGAGGCAGCGGCCGATACTGCTGAGTCTGGGGAGAAGAAGGACTTAGAAGGAGTCGTTAGAGAGATGGATGATAGGATGAAGGGCACTGCTAAGATGCTCTTGGGGAATCTGGTAAGGGGTAGACTAGGCAGAGGCTCGTGGGCAGAGGTTGCCAAGGCTCTCACTACCCGCATATTTGTTGACGTATTGCTGCCTCACGCTAGTTAGTGTATCTGATGTGTATGCCGATCCATGTTGTAGGTGAATAATCCGAAATCGGATAAGTTCAGACGAGTAAATTTGCGAACCCCTCGATTCCAAGCGCAGCTCGATACGGGATCAGCTGCGAGGAAGTTGATGGAAGAAGTTGGATTTAAGGAGGAGGGGTATTCATTCTCTACCTGTTCTGGACTGGCTGATCATCATCGTGAGTGTACAGGTCCTATCTTGTATGGAGCCCGTCGTCGAGTGAGGGAGATTGTGAGGACGAGTTGGGTGATGTGAAGAAGGCTCTAGCGTTGCTATCAGGCGAGGTCAAGGAGGATGGGTAGAAGGGAGGAGCAGCCACTCTGTTGTATCGGACGATCTTAGCTGTTGTTGTCGGGGTAGGCCCAATGGTACGAGCACCAGGGATGCTGAGAAGACCTACCCACCATGGATGTCTACCGCTGTAGCAGCTACTACTACTACCACTACTACTGAGGTGGGCGAGTTGTCTTGAGACTTGCCTGTATCGGCTGTGATGGCAGGTAGCAAAAGGGGGATCGAGCAGTGGCAGTGAGGAAGGTGGCGGAGGCTTAGGGAGCTTGAGTGATTAGTTTTGCATAAAAGTTTTACACAAGTTTCACTTTAATGTTGTCGAAGTTGATCGTAGTTGATGATGTCAATGATGAGGATGAGGAGGATGGACCTTCCCTTGCAGTAGTGGTAGTAGGGTAATAGCGATGGCTCGTCCAGCACTGGAAGGGTCCTTTGATAATCCACTAGAGGCAATACAGAATGACTCGTCGCCGTTGTGGTCGGTCCCAACGCCTACGATGGCCAGGAGGGCTGCTAGCTTCCGTCGAAGTTGCTCTTTGGGGAGCTCATCGGAACTCGTAGGTCTTGCGGAGGAGGAAGAGGATGATGAGTTTGGGGAAGAGGGGAGGGTTAGGGTGGCACCATGCTGTGGAGGTGAGTGGGCAGTCATAGTAGTTCACAGGACGATGGGTGCTGTCCTCACCGTAAGGATAGCTGCGCCCTTTGGAATTTCACGGCTATTTATTTCATCGGTGGGTTTTCACACACTCTTACAGCTCATTAGATGTTCAACCTTGCCTTGTTCATCATCTTTTATGAACAATAAAGGTATGATGGAATATTGGAGACTTTGTAGCCGTTGGTTTAGCGCGGAAAGTGTCCCCAGTGATGTAAGCAGATCCGATACTGCGAGTGGTGGTGGAAATAAGCCCAAGCCAGCCTAAGGGTATCATCCTGGTCCGTGAGGGGGACGATGTGGAGGAGGTAGCTGAGCAGTTCCTCATGGACAACGACTTGCCGTTAGAGCTAGCGGGTAATGCTGTTGGACGCACAGCCTAGTGAGTTGTACTCAGGGCCGCTTGGGGAGAGGATACGGGAGGACTTACGCATGATGGGTCGGGGGCCGAGCAGCAGTAGGAGGAGCAGTAAGAAGGAGGAGGAGGGGAGGGAGGAGGAGGAGGGGGATAAGATGGAATTCGACTTGCGCGGGTTGGACCGGCGTAGGTTGAGCTTGGGCAGGATTAGAGAACGCGAGGGCGACGATGATGGATCCCTTACAGAAGGAGTGATCCGTAGGTTCTTCGGTTCTGGACGAGTCCGTACCATCTCCGGGTGAAGATTCCCCACCACGAGGGGTCGCCCCCCGTAGAAGGCTTCTAACTGCGCCTGCTGCTGTTGCTGCTGATCCTCCCCCCACTATAGTGGTGAGATTGCCAAAGAGGCGGCGTTGGCTTGAGATGCTCTTCTTGCAAGGACAGCAGTGGAGGAGGGAAGTGGAAGAGGAGTAATGACGTTGTGTGGAGTGGCGTGAGGAGCAGAGGCCGAGGAGGGATGAGGGGCGGCTGTCGACCTCCTCCTACAAGGCGCCAGCCTCGTGGGTCTGCTGGCTGCACTCGTTGCGGCGCATTGCTTATGACAGCGCAAAGAAGGATGTCTAAGCAGAAGGCGGAGCGAAGCTCGTCACTATCATCATCATCGTCAGTATTTGCCAAACTCCACGACCATGCTGGGACGAGGCAACGAAGGCTAACTCAGCTGAGAGAGCAGCGCGACTCGTCTCCACGGCGGTCGTCTTCGTCGAAGGAAGGGATGACAGGGTGAGGGGCTCGATGGTATATGTGTGAAATAGTAGAGTTTATCCCCTCTCTCTACGTGCTCGTGTGGGGGGCCGTACTGTTTCGGCCTTGCTGCATGCCTGGGTCGTCATTGCGGATGGCCATCCACCGGACAGGTTCTCTCTAGAGAATCCTCAGCCACCGGGACATCGCCTCCACACTATGCATGAGAGGTGGGTGGCGGAGGAGGAAAGGATCAATAGGAAACTTGATCCGCTTGCAAGGAAAATCCGACATCTTGTGGACCTCCAGAGGGACTACGTCGCGGAGCGGGAAGAGGCGGAGTTGAGAGGCGCTACATTCAAGCCAGCTATTGGTGAGGTTAGGGTGGACCTACTCGAAGACAGCTTGTGCCGATTGTGGTAGGTGAAAGTCAGAGGATGTGTCCAGGGGTGAGCCGGCTGAACGGCTCGAAGGCTGCCTCGGCTGATGTGAGGCATTGGGTGATGTTGTTGGAAGAGTTTTTGGGGTAGGAAGCGACTGAGCAGAGGTGGAAGAGGAGGGAGAGAACAGCGCAGTTGCGAGGGGAGATAGAGAGGCAGCGGATGGAGGAGTGCTCCTTTAGGTGGGGGCGTATCGTCAGGAAGGGTTCCTATCGGTTGACAATGAGTCATTTACTTACTAAGTGCAGACCGCATATTAACTCGAAGTCGTCACTCATCGCCCAGAGGAGGAATCCCTTCCGGAAGAGTCCATTCGAGATGCTCTATGAAGATGCTTCCCAGAGGAGGGTGGGTGGGGCTTTGGTCATAGTATGAGGAGGGCGGCCTCGGTAGGAGCGACGGGTAGAATGGGAAAGCTACCTGCCAGAGGGGGTAACATTCGCGCCGAATATTGGCATGGCGCATGATCGGCCATCGAGGGATGGGAGTAGGGAGATGTTCTTCAAGAGGCTCTCGTGAGTGGTGCTCATTTATCTGCATTCACTCGCCCCATCAGATGCAGGAAGGACGCGTCCGCTCCCGATAGTGACTCTTCTTTAACACATGGGGGCGGCCGTCACGGACTAAGGCGAGCGACTGCTGCTAGTAGTAGTAGTAGTAGTAGTAGTAGTAGTAGCTGTTGCTGGGCCGATGACAGCTGTTATGGCGCTGACTGGATAGGCGCTGTGTCGGAAGGTCAAGGCTCGTCAGCCTTCCCCTCACCTTGTTGGCCTAGGTCTGCCCGAGGTGGGCTGGTGATCCTCGTACTCGTAGAATGTGGTACTGCTCTCTCAGGTGATGAGAGTCTTGAAGGAAGTCCCCCTAGAGAGCGCTTGTTGTTTGACTCACCACCGGCAGCAGCACGGACAGCTGGTCGGTCTAAGGCCCAACGGAGTGGTTCAAAGCTGCTGATGCCACAGCGGCGGCGACCATCGGGTGATATTTTCAACGTAGGTGGGGGAGTGTGCAAGGGTCTATGAAGGGGATTCGTTCAGAGGTTGTATTGCGAGTCTGTGGATTTGAGGAGGAGAGCGGCTGAGTCCGAGTCGGCTGCTGTGAAGGTTGGCACCGTGGCTTGAGTGGGGAGGATGATGGTATGCAGGCAGCGAAGGAATTGTCCTCTGAGGCTAAAGCCCTGAGTCGAAGTAGGGAGATATTGGAACAGAGGAGGATGGAGAAGTATGAGAGGTTGTATGCAGCTCTGGGAGGTGGGTGGTGTATTGGTGTTAAGGCTAACTCGGGTGGAATCCATCCGTATTCTGAGGTGACGGTTAGACGAAACTGGACTATAAGATTTCAGATCGCTCGGGGTTGATTGGGAATGTTCGCGCGACTCCGTGGCTATCATAGCAGTTTATGACGTATTATAAAACTGAGTCGAACGGGAGAGTCCCTAAAAGGGTGCTTCGGAGGCATTGCTGTGGAAATTTGGCATCGCGATGACACGATAGTGGACAGTCTTCGGGGAGGGTTTCATCCAGGGTCACATGCGGCCGCCGTATCATCCGCAGAAAATGACATGAATTTGATGATTACTACGCAAGATGGGACGAAAGTTCATCTCGAGAATATTCATACTCGGCCTGGCACGCATCAGTATTGCGCGTCACAACTACCCCCTAGAACTCGGAACGTATCGGAGGTGCACATGTGTTCTGGCAACGCGCACCTGAGTCATTTACCGGTTTTATGGGGGCCCACTTTAGATGGAAACGTGCCACCAGTGACTGTAGGTGTACCCCATGCGGAGGATCCAAGTGAGTGGATTAACCCCATGACACTGAATAAGGCTGGCCTGGACGACTCTGGAGAGATGGAATTGGTACGGTAAACGACTATGCGATTTGTCCCCTCCTTGTTGGTATTAGGTATCACATATTGTATCCTACGTAGAGGAGTCGGGCGAGCCGGTAAGCCTAGAGAACTTCATCGCGGCAATCGATTATAAACTTCGCCTGTCTCGGAAGCCCTCCAGCCATCTGTTTGTGTCCACTAGTGCGAGGGAGAGGAACTCCAAGTGGGAGGTGCATCCAGAGGAAGCGGCTCATACGATTGTTGTTAATCTACTAGATTGAAACGCGCTGAGCCGGAAGTGGACAAGGAAGCGACATTCACGCCTCGGATAGACCCGCATTCAGCGAGGCTGTCGGAACTTCACCGTCCCCGAGGGGTAGGATGATGATGATGTCAATTGCATGGGGGCTACCACTGACTCTAGGGAGTGCCGATTCACGAGCAGTTGTTGGCTACGCGACGGGCGTCGCAGTTGCGGATTGATGAGATGAGGAAAGAGGAGGAAAAGAGGGCACTGGATGGGTGTAGGTGTGCTCTCGTGGAGATGATATCTTTGTCGTCAACGCACTGCGAAGAAAACGTAGTGAGATTCCCTCATTGCTGTTGTAGGCACATTCCATCCGGATACGCGTCTGACGGGCTCTCGTCGGCCTTCGAATGAGTCTGTTAGGGTCAACGTTATTGTGTCCGGCGGCTCTGCTGCGGTTGATCCATGAACCGTTGGTTTGTCCGAATGAGGCGTTGTGATTAGAGTGTTCATGGAGGGTCTCCATACAGTTCCGTTGAGGCCAGATGAGCTTCCGATTAGAGGTGGGAAGGGGGGATGGCAAGCGTAGCAGTGATTGAATAGCACTGTGGTGATACTATAACACTGTAACCACCTACGATGTGGCCTAGTCTAACGGTAGGAGGGTAAGGAGAGGCGAACGAGTCGCATGAGGATCCTATGAAAATTTAATGAACTCAGTCTACTGCTCGTAGGAGGTGAGCTCCTCATATATCAGCTATTTAATCTATCTGAATGCCTAAGCAAAGGGGACTGCTGCCCGCCGACAGCGACGAGGAGGGTTCTGATGGTGAAGAGTTGCGAAGTCGACAATACAAAGTGAGCTGTCTAGATGTGTCCGTCCGCTTGGGGTCCGAAGAGGTGATGTCCAGGTGATTCTGATCGGCAATGGAGCGGTGGGGAAGACCTCCTTGGCTCACAGGTTCTGTGATGGTGGTTTTAGTGCCTCCTACAAGCAGACCATCGGCCTCGACTTCTTCGTAAAGGTAGTAGGCTTCCTCATCTCACTGTGTTGCTGAGCTTGGCGGCTGCATCCAGCGGTTGGTATTGCCGGGAGATGTTAATGTATGCCTACAAGTGTGGGACATTGGTGGGCAGAGCATTGGTGGGAAGATGATCAGCAGGTGATGAGGAAGAAGGGCTACTACCTCTACCGGGTAGAGGTGGGAGTAGCCGATAGGAAGAGCACTGTCTGTGGGCATATCGTCGAGTGCATGAATGTGGTAGTCGCAATACGATGTGGATGGACTGCCCTGGAGAATGTCCTCTCTCATGTTTTTGAGCAGGCCCGTGTACTAGTCCCTCTAGTACCCTATGGGATGATATAATGTAGAGTAAACTGATCATACAATACTCGTATGAACTATCATAGTAAACTCGAATGCATTGGGGCTGTCGCTTTATCGCTAGCTTATATGCAATATGTTTACCTGTAATCCTCGTATTATTACGTCCACAAGATGGGATCGGATGGTACGTTATGATGGCGTGTCGCCAGAATAGGTACATCTATGGTTCGGATGCAGTGATTATGGTGTATGATATCACTAGCTATCAGAGCTTTCAAGATCTCAACGATTGGCTGCATCTTGTTTACGGGTGTCCAGAGCTCCTCTTTTGTTCGTGTAGTTATTTTGCGCCTCTCAGGGCAGTGAGGAATAGCCAGACGGAGGAGAAGCCCGACTTCCCGTGAGGACCTTCCTCTGGCTGTGGCCATGTGGCAGCTATTGATAGGTTGCTATTCCTAATGGCTAACAAGGACGACCTTGAGCACATGCGTATGGTGAGCCGAGCCAAGCACAGTGTCTTCGCTCTGGAACGAGGCATGTAGGGCGACTCCATAGGTGATGATGATCTACTGCATCTTGTAGGAGTGGACACTTCCTCGTCTCGGCGAAGACTGGTGATGAGGTCGCCACTGCATTCTATCAGATAGCAGCGAATCTGGCGGGGATAACTCTGAAGGAACCGGAGATCCAAGTGGGCTTAATGTAGTGCTCTTCCTCGCAGGTAACATGTTAGGTCCATCAGAAGGTAGTGAAGGCTGAGCTCGTCGATTACCCTCAAGATGACCCCCTTCATGCTCATGTAGTTGCCCCGAGGATGGCTGCTCGAACGTCCAGTCGTCGATCGCGGTGTACCGTTCAATAGTCTCATTAACGCTTTGTGGTGTGGTCAATCTGGGGAGTCCTACAAGAAAGTAGAGTCAACGTCTGCAGAGGAAGTGATGCAAGTAGACGACTGAGCGAGTAGTTAGATGATTCTCAGGGCTGAGGGTCGTGGGTAGCCGCTGGAATATTCTTCTAGTGAACTGAGTGGGTTATGCCATCCGATGGTACCATCATCTTCAGTGATCAGAATCTCGGATTAAATGTATAAGTGATGCCAAGCCCGGCGGCCCCAGTGGCCCCAGACCGCGATCAAGCACTAGGAAGGGCCTGGGCCTCGCTCGGACGGGCTCCTGGACGGGAAGCCTAGGAGCATCCCCCATCACAAGTGGCTGTAGCGCTCGCCATAAGAATCGATTTGCTAGTGAGGGAGTATCTGGTGGACGTTTTATTAGTCCGCTGTCATAAGCGTGTACATCCCTCTACTGTCTGTAATAGATAATGTACTATTGTGTGAAAGGTTCACCGTCCACACACAGAGGCTCGATGACATGTGATTAGTGTGTATACTCACTGAAGATGGGGTAGCGCTGTGGTGGTTGAGCTTGAATTTTTTGGACGCCTTCACGATGGCTTTGTGAAATACTGTTCGAGCCTTGTTCGTGGTGTGTGAGACCCGTCACGGAGAGTTTGCGAGAAGTAGACGAACGTGGGAACTTCCCACTGGGAAGTATACCATCCTCGTGCATAGTTGTGGATTTGTTCATGTTTTTTGCTTTTCGTGGGATAACTCGACTGTTGTTGAGCATTTCTTCCGTGGGGGTGCCACCACAGAGTTGTGATAGTCGGGAGCTCGTGTAGATTCCAGCATCTGTCTGAGTCGACCCTCGTGTATGTGTTTGTTATTGTCAGAGTTTCGGATTGGACATATAGGGCAATGTCATGGTGGTGCTCGGTGTCCATGGCCTCATCAGCCATTGGTTGATAGCTTTATCCGAGCTGCCGCCCTAACGCGTTATCAGGAGCTTACGCTACATATACACTATATTAGTTTCAATCGTAAAGCTTGTGTTATTCGCAAATGGTCCTTTCGAACGATTAGGAGAACGCGATTGCTAGTACCACATAGATTTCTTGACGGGTTCATCTAATAGTGTCAGGAGTGGCGTCGCTCCTAGGTTTATCGCTGATCCCTGTTAGTTCCTTTTTGTACTACTCTGACAGTAGTACATTATGGTAAACAGTCGACACAACTCCCTCACGTCTACAAAGAGTCCAAATAAGGCTAGTACGATGATTAATGGAACCGACTCGGCTACAGTGAAGAGGGAGTTGGATCGTCTACTCGAAACCTACGATAATGGTAATATGTGGGCTTGGGTAAGACGCTCAAAACTTTACTATTATGATGGTTATGGCATCGTCGTTATACAAAGCTCGTATATATGCTCTCTGCATCATTGATGGGTAGTCTCTCTCGGGCTCTATGC